CTGCTGGTCTCTGTTTTCAATTGCTAAAACAAGTAATGAGGGCCCAGGACTCGAACCGCAGTCAACTACGGGGGAGTTCAGCGACACAGTCATTACACTAACTGCTGGTCTCTGTTTTCAATTTCTAAAACAAGTAATGAGGGTCCAGGACTCGAACCGCAGTCAACTACGTGGGAGTTCAGCGACACAGTCATTACACTAACTGCTGGTCTCTGTTTTCAATTTCTAAAACAAGTAATGAGGGTTTATAAAACTGTTTTAAAGGGGACAGCTTTGGGTGTGTTCCTCAACTCTCAAGTGAATATTTCTCTTTTGAGTATTTTTTTTTTTTTTTTTGGAGGGTTTTTTGTTTAGAGGCACAGTGCCCCACCGACAGCTTTGGGTGTGTTCCTCAACTCTCAAGTGAATATTTCTCTTTTGAGTATTTTTTTTTTTTTTTTTGAGAGGTTTTTTGCTATAGAGCACATGTGCTCACCAGAAAGACAGAAAGCGAGAAATCACACCCCGGGAGGATGGCTACGTCGCAATCTCTTCTCCATTCTCCTCTTGGGATCTTGGGCACGTACACATGCCCAGTGTGAGTAACTGCTGGTTCCTCTTTTGAATATTTTAGTGTTACATTTTTCAATAGATTCTTGGGCCAGCCAAGTGGTGTGGTGGTTAAGGTAACTTGATTCCACATGGCCAACTATGCAGTTTGAGTCCTGGACCCCACAGCACAGTGTGATTTCTCACTCTTCCTCTCTCTCTCTCTCTGGTGAGCACATGCACCCCATAGCAAACTAAACAAATTTTTTTAAAAAAGATTTTTCATTAATAACTTAGTTTTATCAGGTAAGGCCACAAATGATGTGGACTGGGAAAATGTTTCCTTTTACAATTTATCACTACATGATCAATTTTTTAAAATATTTCATGAACATAATAAAAATGTCCAATAGGAAGAATGATGTCTAGGTGATATCATAGTTTCTTCTCAGTTGTCAGTATACATTGTTTATTATTTTCTAACATCTGGTGCAGTGGGTGAAACTAGGTATTATTCTAACTAGCTTCTCTTTATAATTTCTCCTATTTATAAACTTTCATGGTCTTTTTCCTTTTTTATTTTATTTTATTTTATTTTTTATTTTTGCTATACAGTGCAAGCATTTGCCAGAGAGACATCAAACAAGAAATCAACCCCCTGGGGGGATGGCCACCCCACAATCCCATCTCTTCCATTCTCTTTTTGGGATTTTAGGCACACGTGCACACATGCCTGGCCTGCGTTTTAAGCTGCTGGGTCCAGGACTTAAACCGTGATCAACTATGTCACTGGGAGTCCAGTGATGTAACCACTATACCATCTGCTGGCCCCTTCCTTATCATTTTTTAAAAAGAATTATTTTATCAGGACTGGCAGGTGGTATGGTAGTTGAAGCACTAGACTCCCACATGGCCGACTACAGTTTGAGTTCTGGATCTTGTGGCTTGCTTTCTCATTTTCCCTCTCCCTGTCTCTCTCTGGTCAAATTTTAAAATAGTAATAAAAAATAAAATTGAGTGATTCTTTAAAAAATTATTTATTATTATTTTAAAATTTGTTATAGAACACATGAGCTCACCCAAGAGAGAGAGAAAGTGACAAAACAAGCCACTAGGTCCAGGACTTAAATTGTGGTCAGCCATGTGAGAATATAGCACCTCAACCACTACACCTACTGGGCCTTTTTTTCCTATCCTTAAAATCCTGATATATTTAAGAACACTTCCAGATTTGTGTCTTCTTTGAAAAGAAAACCAGAGAATTCTGGTCTCCACCTTCAAGTTTTGATGCTGGATGACATTCTCCTTAGCTTTTGGGATTCCTGCTATATACTTGGAGACCTCTGGAAACCTGTAAGCAAAGATGCAACCAACCGTCTTGCTTACTGAATTATTCTAAAAGATACTGGATGAGAGAGGGGGAAACAGGGATAAATATTCAAACCTCCAGGAGTCTGATATTTCCAATTAATAATAAACTGGTAATTTTATTTCTTTTAAAAAAGTTTTGCCACATAGGGCATGTGTACTTGCCAGAGACACAGAGGAAAAGTAATAAATCACCCCACCCAGGGGAATGGCTGCACTGAAATCCCTTCTACCTCACTCTCTTCTCAGGATCTTGAACATAGATACACACGTACCCAGAGTGATTCTTTTTTCGAGGGAGATTTTTTTTTTTTTTTTTTTTTTTTATAGGGTGTGTTCGATCACTGGAGAGTCAGAGAGACAAGAAGTGAGAAATCACCCCAAGGGGATGGTCATACCACAAACCCTTCTACTTTAGTCTCCTCTCTGAATTTTGGGCATGCATGCACACATGCCCTGTGTGAATTTTAAGCCACCAGGGTCCAGGACTCTAACTGCAGTCGACTACATGGGAACCCAATAACAACTGTGATGCCATCTGCTAGTCGCCGGAGTGATTCTTAAGCCACCAGGCCTGGAACTTGAATCGCCCAGTTAGCCAGGCGCAATTCAGTGTCCCAACCTCCATCATGTCACCTGCTGGCCCCAGTGTCTGAAATAGCCTACTAATCCTAAACCAGTAGGTTTAAACCAACAATCACGTAGTCATTCTGAGCTTTTATATCCTTGATCTGATTTTTTTTCTTTTTAATTGAAGTTTTTGCCATAGGGTGTATGTGCTCACCAAAGACAGAAGAAAAATGAGAAGTCAGTCCGCATGGGGAATGGCCATACCATAATCCCTTCTCTTCTATTCTCCTCTTTGAATTTTGGGCAGGCATGCACACATGCCCAATGTTATTTTGAAGCCAGGTCTGGGACTTCAACTGCAGCCAGCAAATGGAAGTCCAGGGCCTTAACCACTACACCACCTGCTGGCCCCAATTCTAGTTTTCTAAATTTCAACTTTCTTCTTCAGAGTTTTTCAGAACTTAAATTTCAGTTTTCAAAAGCAATGCTGAACTCACTAAAATAGCTTAATTTTAGATAAACTGAAAGACAAATGGGTCAGCTAGTAGTATGGTGGTTAAGGTGGCTAGATCCTCTAAGACCAACTGTGCAATTCAAGTCCTAGACTCAATGGTCTGGAAGCACTCCCGGCACTTGTGCGTGTGCACCCAGAATTCCCAAACAGGGATGGAGAAGGAATTGTAGGGTGGCCATTTCCCCTGGGGAGTGCTTTCTCACTTTCCTTCTTTCTCTTTCTCTGTCTCTCTGGTAAGCACAAATGCCCCGTGGCAAAACAAAACAAAATGAAACAAAACCACACACAAAAAAGCAGCAGCAAATAATCTCAATAAATTGCCACCAACTTTTAGCATTTGTATCTCCAGGACCTTCTGTTATAGTACCTGATCATGTATGTCAACCATTACTGCATTCTGCTGGGGTGGATGAGCAGCAGGATGTAACAGACGGGGAGATACATTCGGAGGGTGGAAGGCTCGAGGTTCCTCTATTGCTTGCTGCTGTGCATAAGGGAGATGGTGATAGTTTTCATCTTGACTAATGGAATTATGTCGAGACAGACGATCCCTTCTTCCTCTCTGGCGCCTGACAGGAGGACTGTAATAATCACAAAAATCATCACAAAGAAAGTTATTATAATGTTTATTGTTGAGATTCATGAGGATTCTGTATCTCTTACTGCTATATAGCAACAGCATAGGCTAAGAGAAGCATGAGCATTTTATAACTGGAAAAACTCAAAGTTTCAGTACAAGGTATACAGCTTTTGTACAAAATAACAAAATTGGTATTTAGCTCTTTAGGTATTTAGAAATCAATAGCTAATCGGGGCCAGCAGGTGGCATTGTGGTTAAGGCGGCTAGAATCCCACATGGCTGACCACGGTTCGAGTCCTGGACCTGGCAGTTTGCTTTCTCACTTTCCTTCTCTGTCTTTCTCTGGTCAAATTCAAAATAAAATAAAATAAAATAAATATTCAAAAAAAAAAAAAAAAAAATAAATGAATAAAATTAAAAAAAAAAAAGAAATCAATAGCTAATCATAGTCCCTTTCTTAAAAAAATATTTAATTTTATTTGTCATTACTGTTTTTTTTTATTTTGCTACAGGGCACATGAGCTCATGAGAGAGAGAGAGAGAAAGAGAGAAAGAGACAGACAGACAGACAAACAGACAAAGTAAAAAAGCAAGCTACCAAGTCCAGGACTCAAACTGTGGCGGGCCATGTGGGAGTCTAGCATCTTAACCACTATGCTACCTGCTGGCTCCCACCAGTCTAGGCCACAATCCCTTCTCCTTTATTTCTTAACCCTGTCAAGATTTTTGGCACACACGCCTAGCATGATTTTTTCTTTTTTTTGGAGAGGTTTTTTTATAGGGCATGTGTGCTTGCCAGAAAGACAGACAGACAGAAAGTGAGAAATCACCGACCCCCCCCCCCCACAGGGGGGATGCCCACACCACAATCCCTTCTCCTCCATTCTCCTCTCGGGATCTTGGGCACGCATGCACACATGCCCGGCATGAGTTTAGGCCACTGGGTACGGGACTTGAATCATAGTCAACTACATGAGAGTCCAGTGACGTAGCCATTATGCCATCTGCTGGTCTCCCGACACCTAGCATGTTTCTTAAGTCACCAGGGCTAAGATTGGAACCATACAGTTGGCCAGGTAGGATCCAATTTCCTTAGCCACTAGGTCACTCTCTGACATCACCTCCACTGCTTTTTTTTTTTTTGGCTCAGCACCAAATCAACTTTAAGAAATGGAAGGCCTCGGGGCCAGCAGATTGTGTAGTGGTTAAAGGCCTTGGATTCCCACATGGCTGACTACAGTTTGAGTTTTGGACCTGGCAGCTTGCTTTCTCATGTTCCCTTTCTATTTCTTTGGTCAAACTTAAAAAAATAAATAAATAAATAAATAAATAAAATAAAAAGGAGGAAGTTGAATGAAGTAATTCTTTTAAAAAAAAAAAAAAAAAAAAAAGCCTAGCTGGACTTATCGATATGTACTCCACACTGGGCCAAGGGGGCCTTACAAGCTTAGCTACAAGTTTGCTCAGCACCCTTTTCATTGTTTTTAAAAATTTTTGCCACAGGGTGCATGCACTCACTGGAGACAGACAGTGAGAGGGAAAAGTGAGAAATCACCCCTCAGGGTGATGGCCACATTACAATTTTCCTTCATTCTCCTCTTAAGACTGTGGGCTCACATGCACCTGTGCCTGGCACGTTTTTCAAGCTGAAACTTGAACCACTCAGCCATGTGGGATCCAGCCACCTTAACCACGATGTCACCGACTGGTTGCTCTTCAATTATGTTTTTTTTCCCTTCTGGTTATTGTTGTTGTTTTTATTGCCAGAGGGCATATATGTTCACCAGAGAGAAAATCCACACTTCCCCTGATCAGATAGTTACACTACAATCCTTTTTCCTCCTTTCTCCATCAGGATTTTGGGCATATAAGTACAATACCTGATGTGTTTTTCAGGCCACCATGGCTTGGATTCAAACTGGTTGGCCATGTGAGACTGGCTCCCAATGTACAAGGTTAACCAGTGTGCTCTAGGGCTAGTCCTCCTTCACTGATCAACCTCCTAGACATGTAAACAGGTTTTCTCATACTATATGCATTATTTCCTGGGAATAAGAAATGTATGGCTAAAGGCAAAAACTAAAGGGAAAGCAGCTTAGGAAGAAATGCATACTTGTGAAAAGATAAAGCAAAAGGCCAAGTCCCATGGAAGGGAGGAATAAATGTTCAATTAAACTTTAGTCATTTTTTCACACTACTGGCTCCATGGTCTTATAAAAAACATAATGAAACTTCTAACTGCCATAGATGATATGAAAGGAATAGGAATGAATTGGAGAGAGTTTATTTCTAAGATCTCCAAATTTCCTTACAGTTATGAAATATAGAATACATTCTCCAGTTATCAGGATTGCAAGTTAGCCCCACAAAAATTCTTAAACCAGGGGCCAGCAGGTGGCATGGGGGTTGGGGCGCTGGACTCTCACATAGTCAACCACGGTCTGAGGCTTGCTTTCTGTCTCTGGTCAAATTTTTAAAAAGTAGTAACAAATAAATTAAATAAATAATTCTTTAAAAAGTTCTAAAACCACAAGGTAGTTGAATTAATATATAATCACATGACTTTAAGTAAATCACTCTAGCCTCTTTCAATTCCTTTACCTGTCAATTAGAAACTAAAAGAACTCTTATGATTTAGTGCAGGAGCCTAAACAACTTGTAATGTTGTTTTTTAGGTGTGACTGTTATGTGTATGCGTGTGTTGATTTTTTTGGTTTGTTTTTAAAAGAACTATTTATTTAAGAGGTTTTTGCTTTAGGGCGCATGTACTCCCCAGGAGAGAGGGAGACAGGGAGACAGGGAGACAGACAGACAGAAATAGAGAAAGTGAGAAATCACCTCCACAGAGGGATGGCCATGCAGCAATTCCTTCTTCTCCATTCCCCTCCTGGCATCTTGGGCACGCACACACATGTGCCTAGTGTGAGTTTTAAGACACTGGGTCCAGGACTCAAACTGTAGTTGGTCATGTGAAAGTCCAGTGACAAAACTGCTTTGCCATCTACTGGCCCCAAGAACTATTTATTTTTAATTTTACTTATTATTTTTCAATTCACCAGAGAGGGACAGAGCAAGAGAAAGAAAGAGGGAAAGTAAGAAAATAAGCCACCAAGTCCGGAACTTGAACTGTGGTAGGCCATATGGGAGCTGAGTGCCTTAACCACCACGCCACCTGCCAGCCCCTGTGTTGATGTTTTTATAAAATGACTACAGGAAAATATTTTTAAAAATCTTTATTAGATAGATATGACAGTGAGACACACACATGGAACCCTAATAGGGTCTTGCCATGCCATAATCCTCCAGCCAGAATCATGGACAACCTAATGTTTTCAGGCTGACCCAGAATCTGAATCCCTGAGCCTGCTGATATGACTCCAGTATTGCAAAGCAGCGTCCTACTGCCTGTAACACAGTGGGTGGGCCAAATAATGCTTTCTGATGTTAAAAAATTCTCATAAACCTATCAATGAAAGAACACTTAATAAATAAATTATAATTATCTAACCTTCTTCTGTTGCGTGCAGGTGTGTTGCATCGTTCCCCTGAGAAGTGATGTTGGCTTGGTCGAACTGAAGGGGGCTGCCTATTTGATGTCATCTCCCATGGTCGCATTGGTGGTGAGGGAGCTGGTGATGCTGATGTATAATCAAAGACGGAATGAGAAAGGCGCTGTCTCTTGGGACTTGGGCTATCTTCACTCTGCTAATGCAAAAAAATTGATCACCTGAGTAAGATCTTTAAAGGATTTTACATTACTGCATGTGTATAAGGTATTTAAATATATTTGTCCTAAAAATGGGGAGGAAAAAAATTTATGCATACCATCAATTCAGACAAAAACTTTAAATACATTGCTGGAGTCTGGGTAGGGAGGGAGAAAGAAGATGCACAATAAATAACAGCAAATAAAAAGTGAAATCTTGTTTTTAAAAAATTATCAGAAAATACATCTGGTACAATAAAGTAAACAATAGTGCAATTAGCTTTTATAAAGTACTTGAACTTCTTAAAATTCTAATCCACCTGAGAAATTCTACTATGTTGTACTGTTAGTTATAAGTTACTCTTTCAGACATCAATTCTCAGCTAAGAGTTTAGTTTCTGAAAGTGTAACTTGAGTAGGTCTTCAACCTTATTTTATATCATACTCTTCTTCTCCTTTCTCATCTTGCTTAGGATGTTATAAGAGTTACGTGGATAAATACGATTTCTATTAAATGAGTAAAGAAACAGTCAACTGGGACCAGCGGATAGCATAACGGCTACGTTGCTGGACTCCCATGTAGTCAACCATGGTTTGAGTGCTGGACCCGGTGGCTTAAACTCACGCCGGGCCTGTGTGTGTATGCGCCCAAGATCCCAAGAGGAGAAGGGAGGAGAAGGAATTATAGTGTGGCCATCCCCCCGGGAGGGTGATTTCTCACTTTCCATCTCTCTGTTTCTGTTTGTCTTTCTGGTGAGCACACATGCCCTATAGCAAAAACATCTCCCCCAAAAAAAGTCAATTAAAAAAAAGAAACTTAACTACTGTAGATCACTGGTTCTTATGTCATAGTACTGTGGGAGTACTTGCCAAATTTAGAAGGGTCATAGCAAGGGCTTAGTAGCTATAAAGCGGATATGGATCACTGAACTGATTAGGTGAAAAATCTGATAAAGCAGTATGTTTTCTAATAGAGACTTTCTTATCTACATTCTACTATTGTTAAGTTCTATTTATTTGGGCATTAGAACAACTTTTGGTTACAAAATAATTGGTACTTGCTAATTCAAAAATCATCTTAGAACACTAGCAAAGGCTATATTCTACAATGTTCCATTTTTAAAAGCTAAGTATATTGGAACCAGCAGTTAGATCAGCAGATAGCGTAATGGCTATGTCGCTGAACTCCTATGTAGCCAACTGCAGTTTGAGTCCTGGACTCGGTGTCTTAAACTCACACTGGGTGCATGTGCGTGTGTGCCCAAGAGCCAGAGAGGAGAATGGAGTAGAATGGATTGTGGCATGGCCATCTCTCCTGGGGGGTGATTTCTTGCTTTCTGTCTCTCTGTCTCTTTCACACACCCTGTAACAAATTCCCCCCCTCCAAAAAGCTAAGTATATAAACAGTTACATTTGTTCATTCAAAATTACTTAGAAGTATTCTAAAAACCAGGAATTGGCATTTTTCTTCTACATTTAAAATTATAATTCAATTTTGTTATTTTAACTAAGATAGAAAACAGTTTTCAGAATCATATGCAAAAGCATGCTGTTTTTTTTTCCCTAGAGGATGTATGTGCTTGCCAGAGAGAGGTTGAGAGGAAAAGAGAAAGAGAGAGAAAGAGAAAGAAGGCTAGGGGAAGGCACCCCTTATGGGAAATGGCCACAATGCAATCCATACTCCATCTTCCTCTTTTCAGGATTTTGGCAATGAATCTACATACACGTGGTTTGTTTTTCTTTTTTCTTTTCTTTTTTTTGAGAGGTTTTTGCTATACGGTGCATGCGCTGGCCAGAAAGACAGGGAGAGACAGAGAGACAGAAATCAAGAAATCAACCCCCAAGGGGGATGGCTACACTGCAATCCCTTTTCCATTCTCCTCTTGGAATCTTGGGCACGCATATACATGCGCCCACTGTGAGTTTAAGCCACCAGGTCTGGGCCTCGAATCGCAGTTGACTACATGGGAGTCCAGCAATGCAGTCATTATGCTATCTGTTGGTACTCCACCTGGTTTGTTTTTCAATCACCAGGCCGGGGAATCAAACTGCACAGTTAGGCCATGTGGGATCCGACTGCCTTAACCATCGGGTCATGGAGCAGGCCCCAAATGCAAACTTTTACAGTTCTCCCTACTTCCACACTAACTTTATTTTCCCCCTAGATTTAATTGTACTATTAAAAATATACTGGTTGGGTCAGCAGGTGATGTTGTAGTTAAGGTGCTGGACTCCCACATGGCCAACTGCAGTTCAAGTCCTGGATCTGGTGGCTTGAAAATCATGACCAGAACATGTGTGTGCATACCCAAAATCCTAACAGGAGAACTGAGGAGGAACGAGCAAAGACATTCCTCTTGGGGAGTGATTTCTCAGCTTCCTTGCCTCTGTCCAAGTGAGTACACATGCACTATGGCAAAAATCTAACAGCAAAAAAAATATAATGGTAATTCTTACTCTCTTGATTTTTAATAAGAAAATGGTTCATATTCTTATCATCCTAAAACTTAATAGTAAACAACCATTAAAATTTATTCTGATTTTTAAAAAAGAAAAAGCATAACAACCAAGGTTTCACAAATTCATACATAAACTATACATGAATACCAGAAACAGATTCTTTCCACAGTTGGTTAAGACAGATTTGCTCAACACTAACATTTTAAAGTACAAAAATATCAGTCGCCAATCATGACCATTAATTAGCTTTCATATGAATCCTACACCACTTATCCTATACTGCAAAGCCTAATAGAAACTAAGATGTGGAACTTTGAATTCTACAAATTCACTGCCTAAAACAGAGGCAAACACACTGCAGGGTCACATGATAAAGTTCAAAAGACCTGAAGAAACACTGAGCTTTATAAAGCTTTACATATGTTCAGTGATGTTCAAACTGTAGATCTACAAAGTTCATATTTTACAACTAATATATTGCTTTTAAGACTAAAGAAAGATGGCTAAGAAAAGTGCTCCATCTCTTTTCTGTACTATGATGGGTTCATGTTAGTGGAAAAAAAAAAAAAGAACAGAAAAGAAAGTAAAGGGAGGTGAGGTATTCATTAGCACTCTGGTAATAAGTCTCACTTTTTTTTTTACTCAAAATAATAGGAAACCACAATGGATAATACCTAAAGACAGGAAAAAAATAAAAAATATTTATTATGTGCAGTGTCGTTTCATCATATTCTTCATCTATCTTAGTACTCTAAGGAATTTCAAAGAAATCCTGTTTCCAGAAGAGGGAAGTGAGAGTAACATACAAAGAAACAAGAATTGGATTAGTGTCAGAATTCCCACAGAAATAATGCACGCTAAAAATGCTCTAAGGGAAAATATTGAACCTAGAATTTCACTCTCTAATCAAACTATTAATCTAGTGTGAGGGCAAAAACAAAGATCTTGCCAGACCTATAAAGACTGAACACTGCTTCTCATATTATCTGAAAATTTTACATGTGTGCTTTCACTCGCTTTTCCATTTGAGGACATATACAAGCCTGTTCTCCTACTCATGGGTTCTGCATCAAAAACCTTACACTGGGGACCAGCAGACAGCATAATGGTTAGGTCGTCCCCCCAGGAGATGATTTCTCACATTCTGTTTGTCTCTCCAGCGAGCGCACACAAGCAACCTAGAGTAAAAATCACTCTCTTAAAAAAAAACAGGGACCAGCAGTTAGCGTAATGGCTATGTTGCTGGACTCCCACATAGTCTATCATGGTTCGAGTCCCGGACCCGGTGGCTTAAAACTCACGCCAGGCATGTGTGCGTGCATGCCCAAGATCCCGAGAGGAGAATGGAGGAGAAGGGATTGCAGCGTGACCATCCCCCCTGGGGGGTGATTTATCGCTTTCTGTCTCTAATGTCTCTCTCTCTGTCTGTCTGGTGAGCGCACGTGCCCTATAGTGAAAATCTATCCAAAAAACAAAGGAAAAAAAAAAAAAAAAACTCTTCCATTGTTGCTGGGTCAGCCCCACTCCCTAGCGGTTTGCGTGACCAGGAGTTGGTGTAATGGCTATGTTGCTGGACTCCCATGTAGTCGACCGAGGTTTGAGTCCCAGACCCAGTGGCTTAAACTCACACAGGGTGCATGTGCATGCGTGCCCAAGATCCCAAGAGGAGAATGGAGGAGAAGGGATTGCAGCATGGCCATCCCCCCTGGGAAGGGATTTATCGCTTTCTGTCTGTCTTTCTGGCGAGTGCATGCACCCTATAGCAAAAACCTCTCCAAAAAAAAGAGAGAGCCAAACTGCACATGACTGTGGTTCAAATCTTAGCCCCAACAGCTTGGAAAACACTCGAGGAATATATGAGAGTGTACCCAAAATTCAGACAGGATGGAGAAATGAAGGGACTGTGGTGTGACCATACCCCATTAAGTGGTGTTTTCTCTTTTTCCCTCTGTCTCTTCATTTCTCTCTGGTAAGTATATCACCTTCTGACAATTAAAAAAGTGCTCTACCGTTCCTAATATGTAACTATGTAGTTTAGGCCTATCTTGGTTGAATCTGTACTAAAGGCATGCAGACCTTTTCTTCTTCTTCTTCTTCTTCTTATTCCCTAAGTAAAACAATGGTTTACATAATGTTTACACTGTACTGGTAACTTAAAAGTACATAGGAAGATGCATAGGCCATATGCTAATAGTATCCATTTTACATAAAGGACTTAAGCATCTGTGGATTTTGATACTGGAGAGGGATCCTGGAACCAATCTCTTATGGATACCAAGGATGACTGTATATACAGGTACAAAATCCAATAAACAAAAGTGGAATTGAAAACAAAACAAAACAAAACAAGGGAACCAGCAGTTGGCGTAATGGCTATGTTGCTGGACTCCCACGTAGTCGACCGCGGTTCATGTCCCGGACCCGGTGGCTTAAAACTCACGCCGGGCGCGTGTGCGTGCGTGCCCAAGATCCCAAGAGGAGAATGGAGGAGAAGGGATTGCGGCGTGACCATCCCCCCTGGGGGGTGATTTCTCGCTTT